AATTTCTATAAATAAAAGGTATAATTTTTAAGTATAGGCAGTATTAATTAAGATATAAATATTATAGCTACTATTAATAAAAGCTTATATTTAAATAGTATTAATTTAAATTTCTATTATAATAAACTTACTATTTATTTTTTCTATTCTACCTACTCTTTTAATAGAATTCTATAAAACTTTAAAATTTAATTTTACTTTAAAGCTATTTATTTTCTAACTTTTTATTAAATAAGTTCTTACTGCTATTATCTAGCTCTCTTACTATCTTCTTTCTATAAAAAGCAGTTTTAATAGCTACTATTTAGAAATTAATATAGTAATTTAAATAGTTTTTAAGCTATATAATTCCAGAAGGTATAGATATAATAATAATACTATACTAAAGGCCTATAATATCTTTACTATATTCTTTTAGGCTTTTTTTAGGGTATTTTAAACTCTATTAATATCTATTATTATAGTATCTCTTTTAATATTTTACTTTTTAAAGTAGCTATATTTATAATAAAATTAATTTTATTTTATTTAAGATTCTTTACTTTTTTAAATAACTTCTTATATCTTATCTAATTAAAAGAAGTAATTTATAAAGAGATTTATAATAATTAAGCTATATAGTAGCTACTAGCTAAATACTCTTTTAAAAAAAAGTAATTTTTATATTATTATTCTAATTAATATTACTAGCTTTAAAAATTTATTATTTAAAAACTAAAAAAAAATAGAAAATAGAATATTATTATCTATTATAGCTTTATAATACCTTCTATAGCTTATTATTAGATATTCTTATTTTTAATTATAGTTAAAATAAATTATAAATTACTTAAAATTATAAAGTTTTATAATTTTTAAAATAGTAAAAAATAGCTATAATATACTAAACTTAATTAATAAGTAGATATTAATAAGATATTATATATACTTATTATTATTAATTATCAGCTATTAATCTAGATTTTATTTTATATCTACTATATCTATAATATATAATTACTATAATTACTAAAAATTTAAAGGATTTAAAAGTAGCTTTCTTTATTATAAACTGCAGATTCTAAAAATAGCAGTTTCTATATTACCAGTAGTATAACCTTAACTGGAATATTAGAAGTAATAGATATTATTACTATAATATCAGGGTAAGATATTACTTACCTAGCCGGGCTAGCTAATTCTATAGTAGTATAATCTAGTTATAAATAGCTTTATAAATTACCTACTATAGCTAGGTAGCTTAATTAAATCTAGCAGGCTATATAGATTAGTCTTCTATTACTATCTGCTTACTATAAAAATTATATAAAGTAGTTAAGCTTAAGATAATATAAGGGAGCAAGCCTTTAAATTTATCTAGTAATAGAGTTTTTATATTTAGAAGTATCTTAAGTTAAAAAAAAAGAGAAAGAGAGAGATAAAACCTTACTAAGTCGGGGCTTTCCGGTCTTTAGGGATAAAGGTCATTTAATCGGATAATTGCAGCCACTAGGGCTAGGATTGGTGGGTTCCTTCAACAGGAAATGCCGTATCGGGTAGGTCCGGTAGCCAGACCTACTGGGGCCATAAATTGGGGAGGTCTCGGACAGGACCTTAGACAAGCATCATCGGCAAGCATCTCATCTTTTTCAATTGACAGTCTTTTGACCTATTCTTTGGGGATCTATTGAAGGTCTATTTGATCAAACGGTATCAGCTAAAGAGGCTGTCTATTTTGCCCGACCGTCCGATTTATCCGGACCCCAAACCTGACCCTATCCGACCTTTCCGACACAATACTATCGCGGTTATTACAGCCTTCCTTTGGGTGGTGTGTGTGTTCTTAGTGTCCTCTGCTTACTCCCTTACTTATTACTGAGAGGTTGCAGTAAAAACTCTACTTACTAGTAGTACCCTTAAGTTATTATACTCCCAGCCTGGGCTTATACTCAGGCCTTTACTTTAAACTCAGCCTATAATAGAAATTATATTCTAGGCTGGATTTAAATTAATAATCTCTTTAAGAAGAGTTTCTAGCTTTTAACTACTAAGCCCCAGAGTTAAAATAAGCTTTATTATATAAGAAATATTTATTATAAAATTTTCTAGACTTTTAAAAAAATACTTTATAAGATTATTATTAGATATATTAAAGGTAAAAGTTACTATTTATTGCTATCTATTACTATAAAGTTTAGTAATTAGCTTCTAGCTGATTTTATATAAAGAAAAAGAGTATATAAAGCTTACTTTAAAATTTTAAGATATAAAAAAAGAAGAGAAAAAATATATAATTTTTCCATCTTAATATTTAATAGTTATTAAGAAAAATATTATTTATACTGTTTTATTTAGTTATTTTAAGTTTAATAGCTATATAACTTTTTTTTAATTTAAGAAAAATATTATTAGATAATTCTTTTAATTAAATATATAACTATAATCTATTTATATTTCTATAAATTATTTAATATATATAATAAGCAAGCTAGCTAGATAAGTAAGCTAGCTACTTTAAAATCTTATATAAAAAGCTACTTTTAGCTCTTTTATAAAAAGTATTAAACTTTAATAAAAGTTAATAAAATTTTATTAGTATATTTAATAGAATATAGGAATTTTATTTTATTTTTTCTATATTTTATAAACTTTTATTAAAAATAGTATTTAAAAACTTTAATATAAGATATTCTTATAGATAGAAATTAAATATACCTTTCTAATTAAAAATCTATAAATTCTTAGAAAAATAATATATAATTACTCTATTCTATTTAATATACTAATAAAATCTTATTAATTTTTATTAAAGTTTAATATATTTTATAAAAGAGCTGAAAGTAGCTTTTTATATAAGATTTTAAGATAGCTAGCTTACTTATCTAGCTAGCTTACTTATTATATATATTATATTTATAAATTCTATACTATAAATAAATAATTTAATAAATAGGGGATTTACTATTTTTAGAGATATTAGTTATTTAATTAAATTCTTATTATAACTAAAGTTAAAACTACTATAGCTTTCTTTAATAGAAAAGGCTATATTATATAGAAACTAGTAGTCTAATCTATTAGAATTATAAAAAAGCTTTAGATATATAAATAGAAAAAAGAAGAAGTATCCCTCTTATAAGATTATTATAAGAATAACTATCTAGCTATATTCTTAGTTATAATTAATCTTAAGCTTAATTTTATAAAGAGCTTGCCCTGGGTTTATTTAATAAAAGGAGTGTAATAGATTAGTCTATCTAAGACTAAGAAGCAGGAAGAAGAGAAGGGGCTAGCTCTAGGGAGGTTATAGCTATAGCGCAGAGCTCTTGCTTGCAGAGCGGTAGTAGTTGGCAGAAGGGAAGGTTAATCTTACCTAGCTTAGTTGGCCTTAGCCGGTTAGGAGCGGCAGGGTGTAGCTTGTGCCCCTATACTAGACCTCAGCCTGTAATAAATTTACAGTCTTTCTAGCTTATTTTCTTTAGTCTCTTTTAGTAAACTATTTAATTAAATAGTACTAAATACAGTAGCTATTAGTCCTATTTATTTAATCCGCTTTTTCTGCCTTTAGTCCCGACCTCTATCTGCTATAGCAGATATATTACACCTTCAGTTATCACTAAAGCTGCCTTCTAGGTGGGTTGTGTGTTTCTAGTATCTCTTATCCCCGCCTACCACTCAGCACCTACTTAACAAATTAAGAACTAGCTCTTTTAGTAATAATACAGTCTCTATTATAGATATCTATAAAGGCTGGTAAAGCAACTAATAACAGAAGAAGCTAGGGATAGCTGTTAAGTTCTAGTACTTTAATAATATTTCCCTCGGGGCATTAAAGCGGAAGGTGTTGAATTGGAGGCATGGAACACCAGGGCTCCAGGGTGTTACGTGAGGAATAAGGGACCTATTCGGGCAGGGCTTGCCGAGCCCCCGGCCGGCTACCCCGTACTAGGAAGCAAGGGAAAACTAGTCCCCCCTGACCGTAAGGGGCGGGACACGTACGTAACAGCTACACACACAATACACATACGCGTTCGAGGTTATTAAGTGGTTATTGAAGCTATCCAACAGAAGGTAGCTCCAGAGGTTGCCTTTTATAGTAATTCAACTGTCAAGCAAGCAAAGCAGGAGGAAATAAAAGAATCGGTCCTGTGAAAGAAGAGAAAGTGTCGCAAACTTTAGGCTCTGGAACATATACATGAAGAATAAAAGGCTTACTGAAGACATGCAAACAGTGTATTTATTATCATCAAATTGGTTGACTTTTTCTCTATTGATTCATGCGCTTTTTAGTTCGTGCGTTGCTGTGGCTGACTTTTAGTGGACTTAATTGCGTTTCCTACCGTTTCGGAACACACGTACCAACCTGCAACCTGAAGCCCAACATTGCTATAGGCATGATGGATCTAAAAGGGTGTAAAATTTACCAACAACCCCGTCAAAGTTGGGCAGTTTACGCTCTCCAATTGGTTTCTCCGTCTTTTTTGGGCGATTCTGTTTCAACCTGGTAACGAAATAGTATTTACAGGAGACAATGAGGAACGAGCTTGGTAAAATTATCTGCCAGTTGACATCTCAGAGAGAGCGGTATGATAAGACGGAAGTGGAAGCGTTCCTTGAGGGTTAGGTATAGGGAGGAGTCTAAAGAATCGCCTGAAACTAATATGAAAATACTATCTAGATACAATGTCACACCTATCAGCTTGTGAGACTACGGCCCGGTTACAAAGGGTCTCAAGGAAGTCTCAAAGACGCGGCTCTCTAGCAAGCCGGTCTCAAAGACCCGGATCCAAGGGATCCGGTCTCAAAGGAAACCTTACTATAGCTTCTGTGATGATAAGGATACCTTCATAAATAGAGCTGCTACGAGCCCTCTATTAGATAGAAATTAAGAGCTTCCATCACATCTCAATGTACCCTTCCTTTCTGATGCAACATACAATAGTTGAGAATAATGATCAGATAACATAAAGTGAATATCGACACCCAAACCAAACACTTTTTTCCATCGGACCGGATTATTATTAATTTGTCACCTTGATAGTAGTGGCAACACTCGGTACCCCCGCCGAGTTCAGCACAAAAAGCATCCAGTATCCCGGCAGAGCAATTCCCGGGTCATTCGGAATTTTGAATGAATACCTGTTTGTCCCAGCGTTCGCCAATGTCAGAGCAATACGTCGCTGGTCAGTGTTGACCGTGTGTGTAGCAGTCCCGTATCGAATCAATGAAGCCTGCTTAATCGGACCGCTCGTGGTAATAGTAATAGTGCTGCCGACTTTCGCGGTCTTAGTCGAAGTGCTCGAGATTCTTGGTCGAGGTGCAAGGTTGCCGTTGTTATCGTAGAGATAATTCGGTGTGAAAATTTGAGCATCAAAGTGGTTTGTCGTGCAAGTGCCACAAAGTCCCCCGCCGCCATTGAATACTCTTCCATCCGGTAGCAGCAACGAGATACTATGGTAGGCTCGGATGATTGAATTACTTTGCTGCTTGATGAAGGTATTAGAGGTGGGGAGGTATAGCTCGGGCTCAAGTTGGGGGGTCGAATCTGCAAAAGGCTCGGAATGTCGCTGGCCTCCGGTAATAAAGACGGTTCCGTCAGGGAGCACAACTGAGGTGTGAAAGATGCGAGGATGTAATCCTTGGCCATTGCCGGCCAAAGCTGTTTGAGCGGTACTTTCAGGCTCGCCGATTGTGATGATGTGCGCATTAGCTGTGGAATCAGCATACCGGTAATCGGGGGAGCCGCCAAAGGTCAGGATCTTGCCCTTGACCGCATCGTACATGACCGCATTTCCACACATGGAATCTGGGTCAATTTTACCACCTGCTTGTCGTTTACCAGCGGGCTTCACATCGCCATTGGTTCCGCTGGTGTAATACCAGTTCATCGCAGTGCTTGGACCGGCTTGGAAGACGGTTCCTTTCTTCCAGCCAAATAACCATCCGTGGTTATCAGCGCGATAGATGCCTTCTTTATCAGCCGTAAGCATTGGCTTAACAAGGGCCTCTGGGAGCAAAGTCCATTTTTTCAACTTTGAATCATAGATTTCACCATTTTTCCCTCCCTTGGGACCACTCCAAGAACCGCCAATTGTAAACACACGGCCGTCGGATGTTGTAGCAGACGATTGATACCCGCGTGCAATGTTCATCTCTGGGCCTGTGATCCAAGTGTCGCTGGGAGAATCGTAGAGGCTTGTTTTTTTGGCGTCATTTCCGCCGGTCACTACAATCTGCCCATCTCCGTCCATAGAAATGCCCGGGCAGAACATGTCGTGGTGAGTGATGGTAATATTGCGTTGAGTAATGATGCCAGTAGCCGGGTCCCAGACGGAGCTCAGCGTCAAGCCACCACGGGGCGTAGAGTGTTGGAAATCATCATAGCGGTAGGCAGACCAAACTACCACCCTGCCGCTTGTTGGCTCAACTGCACCGGCCACAGGAACGACGGGGAAGTCAAGAGTAGGGCCCCAACGTCCTAGTCCGGGCTCTGGGGCGTTGAAAGAGGAGGCTGCGTAGACGTTAAGTTCCGCGATGCTGATCCAAGGGTTGTCGTGCGCTTCGGAGATAGCAATCAGGCGCACATAGCGGGCAGGCTGTGGTTCGAAATTGGCGAATTTCTCGGTGTTGTCGGCCCACCATGTTCCTGTCGCAACAGGGGAACCCCAGTTCTTCCCGTCTGTGCTGAGGAACACGTCATGGCGCCCTATCCAGTTGTGAATGTTGCTGTCCTGGCGAGGAAGCTGAGAGACTCCATTGATATTCTGGACGACTTTCATATCGACCATGATGGCGTGCGGAGGCCTCGGATTGGTTTTGCCCCAAGGGGTATGCCAGAAAGATTTTGTGTTGCCATCAATAGCTTTGGAACATTCGTTGCCTGGATGCTGGCTGGAGCAGGTCACCGCCCAGTTTTTGCGGTCAATGGGAACACCCTGGGGGGGAGATGCTTTGAACTTCCCAGGTTGTGGCCCGAGAGTTTCGGGAATGACAACTGCACTGGTGGCGTCCAAAAGGCTGCCGAGGCACAGAGCCAAGGTCCAAAGGTTCTTCATCTTTGGCTGAGAGAGTCACAAAAACGGAAAGAAGAAGAAAGGGAAAAAAAAAATGTTGAGATCCTTCTTCTGTAAAGGATCGAAGGATTCAATTGAATATTTATTTATTTATATAAAACCGTGGACGACTGAATGTCGCTCGCCCTGTTTCCCCAACATGTAGCCATCCATGATAAAGTTTTTATCGGTTGATAAACGCACAGACAGTAATCGGAGCCTCGGATCTGCAGCACGGACGCAGGTATCGTTGAGCCGTCAGTTGCGGCGTTTACATTTTGGGAATAGAATCCAACGATTCGTCACCTCCGTGCAGAGGTTCCGCACACACGTTTCGGACTTCCGCTTTGGCTGGCCCATTGTATGTATTTTTGTTCAATCACAATCTTTTTTACGATGCAGCCACATACCGGTTGGGCAGGTTCCATCATTTACCAAGCCTTCATCATCGGGTAGATCATGTGGCTGGCTGTGTCTACCCTTCAATCTGGTGCCGAGGTTTCGTGTTCGGATGCATGTGTCGAGCTGACATGGACTGAGGATGATATGTGCTGGGAGGAGAAGAGATGGGAACCACCCTGACTGTTTGGATGCATGTGGCTTACAAATTGTGCCGTCCGGGACGAGGAGTCCACATATGCACTACGATAATTTGAAATGAAAAGGGGGCGTTCATTTACGAGTCCAGTAAAGGTGGCACGGCATGATGTGATCTGCTTCTAGGACAATATCCAATGGTAGCGGGCTGTATCTTGAGGTCAACACCCTCCTATGCTCGATACCTGCTACTCTCCATTTTTTTACAGCCCAATGTAATTTCACTTCGATCAGGTGCGACGGAGGCAGGGCTCAAAGGTCTCTGCCCATGTTATCAACGCCACAGCCCTCAATCCTTGCTCTCCAGAGGAACGTTCACCTGGTGCCTCTATACGGATAACTTCAGGAGTTATAGAGGAAGCTTGTCGGGCTACTGACTGGAGCCTGCAATAAGCCACTGGCGTGTAGCAGTACCGTATCGAATTGGGTTGAAGTATTCCTCGTATTTACTCTGCTCGTGGCGCTATTGTTGCTTTTTGCGGCAGCAGCTTTTAGGCCTCTGTTGGATGATGACCCTGTATGACGAAACCTCGGATAGATTGATATCCTGACCTTAGTCAGAAGGGGGGTATAATAACCCCTCTTCCGACCGATCCGGATGACCGGCACAAGCAATAATCAACATCATCATCACTGTATTGATCCCTATCTATCAGATTGAATTGACCGTAACGGATCCTTCAGCCTCCATACAGATACCTGTACGGAGGAAGCTTTCAAAAGTCTTCGGCCAAGAAAAAGCAATAGTGACGCCACACCATAGATAAGTACAAGGGGGTACTTCAAGCTGAACTGAACCCACTAAAAGCTATCAGAATATAGCAGGCTCTTATCAGTAATTAAAACATAGGCTTTCCCTACAACCCCTAAATTTATAGGGGAATTAGGGAGAGGCCCTACTGTGGTCAATCCGCATATAATGTATTAAAAAGAAGTCACAGGGGTTTAAGGATGTGGCGTTCATTAGCGTGAGTGAAGACTTTTGAAAGCGACATCCGTAAATACTCCACAAACGCAATCACCCCAGCGCACCAACTCTACCCCTGTAAAAGCCAAAGATTACTCAAATAACCACCCCTCATTTGTCAAGTTCAACGGGAAGGTGGTGAAGTGGGCACGCTAAGGTGATCGAGACCTGCTAGTCAGAGGGGGAAGATGAATGGTAAGCATCTTGGTGATTTTATAGGTCAGATAACGTCATAAACGGTCATTTCGTCGGGTCTGTGTGCACGTGTCGTCGTTTGCTTTTAAAATTGTTCCTAAAATGCTTGCCTCTGACGATACATCTTGATGATTTGGGAGCAGACTTTCCATGACCGTCTTCTATTTGCCAGCTTTGGTCGCCCATGTATGCCATTAGAAATCGCGGCCTTATAAAGCGTCGTCTGTATGGGGTGACATATCTGTTATTTACGATTCAAGAGCACAGGAAAACCTTGAACCTGATGGATGCGTGTGCCTGTTGCCCCACACGGCCATTCACCAACAGTCATAACGTACCATCCCAACCACCCGCTGGAGTAGTTGAGCAACTCCAGAAGCTGCATTTGCGGCTGAGCATCGATATCTCGGAAAATTCGCCGAAGCCAACTGGAAGAGCAACCAGCTCCGAATATTTCAGACAGACGTGATCTTTTCCAGCCGCAATCGAGGGGAGGAGGTTCTCTTCGCCTCGATGGTTGACCGCGGCTCGGGACACCCTGTTGTGATTTGCGAAGAACGTAGGGTGCATCATGAAACGGCTTCCGAGGACACCAATGAAGGCTGGGCTCAGCCCTTCCAGCATGTATATCATCCGCCGGCCGGGGTTTGTTTCAGACTTGCGTAGCTCGAAATGCTCCCGAATCTTATCCGGATCACTCGTTTCCAGATCCCGAGAAATGGTTTCGCCTTGAACATCGAGCACGACAAGCTGCGGCGTGCAGCCTGGCCACGGCACTCCTCTCTTGATAGCCTTCCTATCGCGTTTCCTCAGCGTGGGATCCGCCCAACACAAAGATTTGATGAAATCCTGATACGACCCCGGTGTTGACAGCCACGATCCATCCTCTGACGTCGCCATATCGAGCAGTCGCGATGCACTCAACACTATATTATGCTGCTGCTAGCGGAAGGCCTCTGAAGGATAGTGTTGGATCTAATTATGAACGTCATGTAGCGAAATATCTGCGCATGGTCAGTTTTTAAGTCAACAGCAGACCCTAGTCGGGCTGCGACGGTGCGCGCTGCCTAAGTCCAATTCTCCGGCGAGGCGGTTGGGTGAGGCTGCAGGATTATGAGGCTGTGTATGCACTTGGAAGTCTCTACTGGGAAAGGCTCGTTGGCTCATCCGTGAACGAACCCCTCTGTCCGCCTCGAGGACAAAGGTGGCGTGGCGTAGGCATATTGCTACTTGCAGGGCGTTCTCTCTATAGGCTCACCCGTCTTGCTGGTGCCTCAAATGTCGATGTCAGCAACCGCTTTCCCATTGCACGGATAATCTGTTCAAAGATCCAACAACAGTCGAGTTTGGTGTGTTTAAGGGGCCTGAGGTTACAGAGATATAAAATATTTCCCATGCCCTGTCATCAGATAGTTGGAGAGCGTAAAAAATAGATGTAGCTCTATCGCAGCCTTCTATATTTACGTCGACGCAATAGTCCTCTACAAGGTAGGTGATCATGTCGCAACTCCCACTCCTGGCTGCAGCGTGGGGCGCGTTAAATTCACATGCTTGTGTCTCAGCTCCTTGCCTAAGAAGCATCCTAGCTGTGTAGACTTAGCCATAGTAGAGACTATAAAGAGTGCAGTAACTCCACTATCCGCCTGCCGATCGATGTCTGAGAAGCGTAAGAGGACATACACAGCAGCACCACGACCTTCAGCAGCAACTAAAAGCAATGCCGTGACGTTCAGTCCTCGACCTTTTGGGCAGTAGGCAGGTCCATCTAGAGTATACTCGAAGTCGACCATAGCTCTGATTACAATTGGCAGAGGCATGTCTGCTACATCCTATCTCTTCAATAAGGATCAACCGCGAGGCAAAAGGTCGTCATTTTGGTTATCTCAAGAATCTCTTTTTCCTGGCCATTAGGATGACTAGGGCATCTACGTATATAAGGACTGCTTAGAGCCCTCAGTTAGCTAGAAGTCAGCCTCCATACACACCCAATGCACCCTTTCTTTAGCTCATATACAGAACATCTGCGACAGTTATCCACGCTCAGGCATTGCAACGGGGAGCGCTTGTGGATTCCCGCGTATCCACGCTCAGACACACTCAGCACTGTATTGGGCGTCTGTGGATTCTCGCGTATCCACGCTCGGGCAGGACTGTAGTGAGGTGCCCGTGGATTCTTGCGCATCCACGTTGATACCTCGGTTGTTCAGAAGACAGCTGCCCCGTTCGTGCCGGAGGCCGAAGCCGGTAAGGAACGAGTCGACCATCGTTCAAGTAACAGTTGTGGCTGTGGAGTGCGTCGTAGCTTGTCCTGGTCTGCTGCCACCATGGTGGGATGCCAAGGAGAAGAGGGATTGTAAGCTAATTGATATAACTCTGTCGCGGTAGTGCAACCTGCGAAACGCTGTGCATAAGAGCGATATCCCAGCAAACGAGAAGCTGATATGTTAGTAGGAGAACGTGCGGATAGAACAGTATTAGATAAGTCCACTTATAGGGAAGGGTTGGTGGTGAAAACTTGTCCAACAAGATATTTCTGAGGTCCCAGACTCGCTTCGACATATATAACCCTACTGTACACGATCTGGCCTCGCGTTCCTTGGTAAACAAGCTGCCACGACTGTCTAGCTTTGATTAGTAGAGCACATTCAATTCTACCCTCCCTGCTATACCTGGGCAAAAACCTAACTGTACGAGAATTGATGAAGTAACCGATTACTACTTTTCACAACTGGAGTTGTCACATGTATCGGGATATCGGATATCTACAGCATCACACCACTGTAACACCATCGCCACCGGCCTCGTCACCAGCTTCGTCATCTCGGCCTAGCTTTTCCTTGATTTTATCTATAGCTAGTTGAAGCCAAAGACTCCGAAGGATCCGGAGCCTCTCGGCTGTCCGAGGTCACCCGAGGTCATCGTCAGTCTCTTCGTCTATAAGACTGACCCAAAGACCCTCATTAGATAGGAAGAATATCAAGAGCTTCTCACACACATGATCCTATCCATCTGCTAGATGCAACAGGAGTGTCACGTATAATATAGACCGTTGTTACACTACGAATTAGCAGAGTGTTCATTCCACTTTTGCCGTAGCCGTTAATGCGATATGGAGCCATCTACCCTCATATAAAATCTTCCCCTCAGGTTCCTTTACTTAATATTCGCAGCTTGCTACTGTGCATTTCGACTCTAGTAAAGCTTCTGATCCGCCTCATACTGACACATTGCTTACTTCGAAGGTCTGTACGGTGCCCGACTCAAATTATAACCAGAACTTATTCCCACTCAGGTATATATCTTAGTAGTTAATATACTATTTACTACTACCTGTTGCTATACTCTAGTGCAGCACTAGACTGCTATTTTTACCCGGTAAGCTGAATTTAAATAGATTAAAGTTAATATACTAGGCAGTTCTCTAATTTACAGTAATAATTACCAGCTTGTAGTTTTAAGTATTATATATAGTAATAGAGTTAGAGTTACTAGCTGAGAAGATCTGTATATCTGGCTGGATATAGTATATAAACTGTATAAGAATAAAATATTTTTAAGTTACTAAGCTGAGTATTTTCTTATTATTATTATCTATAATAAGGCCCCAGTCTGTAATATTAATAGCTTGCTAATATACCTATATAGTAGGGTATAGCTACTTAAAGTTTAAAAGGAGATTTTAATAGAGATTTTTACTACTGCTATTACTATTACTATACTTACTATTTTAAAATTACTTTTCTACTTTCTTTATAAGATTATATAGCAAGTTATATCTTCTACTACCTTTTTAATAACTATAAATATTAATATACTTTACTTTAGCTTTAATATTACTATTAAGGCTAATATATTTAATAAGTAAGTAAAATAGATAAGTAAGATAAAAATCCTAACCTTCCTACTAGAAATTATAATAAAAATACTATAAACTATTTAATTAATTAAAACTACTTACTATACTCTTCTCCAGATATCTTAATTACTACCTAATAGATTCTTATATTATACCCGGGCTTGCTATAGATATTACAGTACTAAATATCCAGTCCGACTAACCTTCTTTAATTACTACTCCTCGAAGATTTAGCTACTATCTATATATTTATATCTATTTAATTAATTACTTATTTTTCCTCTTCTACTATTATAATCTTTTTTTTCTATAGTCTGGTTTTTTTTACTCTTTAGTACTAGCTTAATATTTTATTTACCTCTTAAAGGTTTTTATTTTTAGTAGTTAATAAGATAATTTGATATATAACTGTTTTTATTTCTTTTATAAGAAATTGTAGAGTTTTTAAAATTAACTTTAAAAAGCTATTTTAATATCTTTTAATCTATTTTTTAAGATATTTAGACTGAAATTTAATTTTAATTATAGTTTTTAGGGTTTTTAAAGCTTAAGAAGTTAATAGCTTAGCTATTTTCTTAACTGGTATTAGTATCTATAGCTAAATATTAAACTTTAAAATTATAATTTTTAAGTTAAAAGAAATAAAACTAGCTTTTTTAAAAGTTCTTTTAATATTTCTTTTTATTATAATAGCCTTATATATTATATAGAAGGCTAGAAAGAATTTAATTTTTAAAATATAAATTATAAAGTATCTAATTAATTATTTTATTTTTTAACTATAAGTTTATTTTAGTATATTAAAGTATTTAATATTAAGAGGCTGGAGTAGATAAAAGAAATAAAATAGTATATAAAATTAGATAATTTTCTTTTTCTTATAATATCTCTTAAATTTAATAAAATAGTAATTTTTATAGCTATTAAAAATTAAAAAATAATAGAAATTAATTAATTAATTAATTATATATTAGTTAAAGTACTTAAGCTATTTAAAATTAATTTTATTATTAATTTAGCTATTTTAAGTTATTATAATAGTTTAATTATTTAAAAGATTATTTTATTAATATTAATTAATAAGATAATATTAATTTATACAAATAATAAATAGCTAGATTATCTAGCTTTTTATATTAATTATTTTAATAATTATAATTTATTTTTAGTTTTTAAATTATATTAATTTTAATTTTAAATATCTTTTTATATTTATAATAACTATTTTACTTATAATTATATTTATAAAAAAGCTAGTTTTATTAAAATTAGAAATATTATTTAATTAAATATTATACTTTATAATTATATTTATTATAAGCTGAAATTAATTATAAATAATAATTAAATTTTTATATTTAGCTTTCTAGTAGTTATATTTATAAAAGAAATATATTTTAAAATCTAAATACTATTTAATAAAATTATAAGCCTAATATATATTAATAAATAGTATATTATAGTTAGTAAGTAATTAATTAGTTATATCTTTTATATTATATAGCTAAAAGAAGAATTCTTATAAATTTAAATTAAAAATAAAATAAATAAAAATCTCTTTTTTTAAATTAAATAGCTTATATAAATTTAAAATAATATTATATTAAGACTGGATACTTTTTTACTAGTAACTTAAAGTATAATAATTAACTATATAAATTTCTATAGTATATTAGATATATAAGTTTAGGTTATTTTAAAGAGTCTAAAAAGTAAGAAGTATTCTAGCCTTATAATT